AACTCCTTTGTGTTTGGAAGCTGGGGGGTGGGGGTGGGGGGAGGACCAGGGAGGATGATTCAACCACTCAACCACTAGATGTTACTGAAAACAACAAATCCTTCACACTGTGCCTTTAAGTACAGTAACAAAGTATTTGTACTTAGTTACTTTACAGCTCTGGGGAACACAAAGGTATTGCGTGGGAACGCAAAAGAAAAAAAAAAGTGTCCCCTCATGGGCTCCGTAGCTACAAGCCATGGTAAATAATAATAATAATGATAAATAAATTAATAATAAAAACTAAAAAAGCAATCGCAGCTGTTCTGTTCAATACACCAGTCCCTCACTTCTGACATCCATCATGGTGTTCCCACGTGACGTAGGTGCAAAGCCTTTTTTTTTTATAATTCAATTATACTTGAATTCCTCTTCTTCTTAAAGGTTTCATATAGGGAATGTCCCATTTCTTTAAAAGTTAAGCTTTCTAAGGATGTCTAAAAGGAGAAAAATAACAATTTAATATAAAACTCTAATCTTTCCAAACTAACAGCTATTTTATAAAAGTAAAATGTGGTGTATTTAGTTACTTATAACGTCAATCAATAAATCCCAAATCAGGCTATTTGAGGGGATGCAGAATTTTATTTTTATTTGTTTATTCAGAATTGGTCAGCCAGACCAAACAACAACAAAAAAGCACTAGTTTGTGCTGAAAACAAGAACAAAAACTTAATCAAAACACATAAAAATGAGCTATATCAGTTAGTTTTTGTTTTTATTGATTGTTCAGAAACTGAGCAGCAGCTTTGGATTAAACTAGAGATGGGACAAATGGCTCTTTGAAGGGATCCGGATCTTGGGGAGCCGTTAGAGTCGTTCGATTTTGAACGTATTACGTCATCACGTAGGGAAATACGTCATCACGTAGCCATATGTAATGACGTCATCCCGCCCCCCTTCACTGTGAGCTTCTGTACTCCACAACTCCGCCTGTTTTCCATGAAAAAGCAAAGCGGGAGCGATTTAAGTATGAAAAAATAAAGATTAAATGAGGAATAAAAGAAATAAAACTACAAATGGCTCGTTACTGCCCGCGATTTGGCTCCTATCGTTCATTGTGAAGAGCTGTTCAAAAGATTCCGATCGTTCGCGAACGCCACATCTCTAGATTAAACCATATTGTACTAAATTTTTTTTTTAACTTACTGGTTTACAAACACAAAATGAAAGCTTGTGAAAAAAGCTTGAACAAAACTGAGATTTGGATCTCTAACTTTCCGGGGGAATAAAAARGTGTGCAAAAAAATAACTCCTGAGTGGCTTAAAATTAGAGGCACTTTGACCAGGAGAGGCTACATTACACAAAACATTTATTAATTTAACCATTTTGCACAACTGCTTTATGAAAAACTATGCATGCTCACATTAAGTCAAATAAAATTTCTTCAGACAACATGTTGTCAACGTGTAGACAAAGCAAGAGTTACCCAGAAAAAACACACAAAGTCTTGTGCATCTATTATTTCACTCTTGGACATTTTTGTTGCAACATGCTTTGTCACGCTTAGTAAAACGATCTTTTACCCAAACAAGAATAGCATGAAAACACTTCGATAAAATGCAGTAACAATAATTTGCCCAAGAAAAGCCACAATATATTTTTTTTATTAGTAACCGTATATTCTAACAGAGTGCAAATGTTTAGGCGTCCCACCTCTCCCAAAAAAGTGCGGATTTTTAGACGAGTTTAGTGCGCATGATTAAGTTTTAATGCTTTATTTACAGACAAAAGTGCAACAGCACAGTTTAAAATACTGTTACTAGAATTGTGTTTTTAGAGAACATTGGATTGAACCACATAAAGTTTGGAAATTCTGTTTGAACAGGTTGGGTTCAACAAAACTCTGCGACTTTCAAGTAAACTTCCACTGGTTCGACTGTCAAAGGACACGCCTGAGAGCCCACCCACAGGTAAGGAAAGACCACCTCAGTGATGGGGTGTTTGAAGGTGTAGATGTGCGCGTTGGCATGCGGGTCATAAAACGACAACCTGCCCTTGTCGCAATCCAGCATCACTCGTAACCTCTTCGGATTGTGCTTCAAGCTGAGTCGTGTCAAAGGAGAGGTGCCGGCGAAGTACATTCTGTGGTAAAAGTACACGCACAGGTAGCCGTTATTCAGGACCGAGTTGACTTTCTCCTTCCTCTTGACGGATTGTTTGGCCACGCCGACGACCCAGGCCGTGTTGTCGCCCACGTTCACCTCCCAGGCGTGCTTGCCGGAGGACAGGCCCCGCCAGCCCAGAACGGCCGTGTCCGGGTCGAACCTCTCCGGGTTGTCGGGCAGACTCCGCTTCTCGTTGCTGTCGCAGACGCCCGTGAGGTCATCTGACAGGACGAGCCAGGGGGCCGCCGTGTTGGGATCCAGAGTGACTGGAGCTGAACAAAAAACACGGCCAAAATGACAGCCAAATTTTTTACACACTTTCAGAAATGTATTCAAAAGAAGTTTGAAGTTTTACATGCTTTTTACTAGAACTTACTGTATTTGGCAATTTTATGCATCTTCTCCCACACTTGGAAAGTTAAAGAGCCGACATATTTAGCCACATCTATAAGGGCTCCAGAAGGCATGACTGGATCTTCGACTGGATTATTTGCTCTACAGAAATTAGAAATAAGCAGTTTTAATTAAATGCTATGAGGAAAATAAAAAGTAAAGGTTATAAACAGAAAACAGCTCATCCTACCTTGCCAGTGTTTTGCAGCATTTCTAAAAGCAGGAAGGGAAAATTATTTAATCATTTAAATCAAAAGCAATGCTATATAAATA